CAGCAGGAACTGCTAGGATTTGGCACTTGGCACTCAGAGAGGGAGGTCCCGACCTCCATGAGTGGCAGGGCTGCCCCAGACCGAACCCAGTCCAGCTGCAGCCGGGAGACAGGCAGGCAGCAGGCACTGGGCCTGCAGCATCTCCCAGCAGCCGCTGATGCTCCACTCCCTCGGCTTTGGAAGGCAACCCCAGCGAGGGAGTCGGCCTTGCCTGACGGAGAGGGAGCCTCTGGCACGTCCTGACCTCAGCACACTGACACCACAGTCTCTCCCAGGTGGAAAACTCGGTCCTTTGACTGCGACAGCTCATGGCCACCAGCTACTGAAGTGTCATTCTCCCTTTGCACATACCTTCTCCTGCGAAAGCGGGTGATAGGTCCACCCTTGAAAGAAGGCGTTGTAGTTTATAGCATATCACCTCGCTTGCAGCACTGGCAGGTAGATGCAAAAAAACCACATACAGGGAACTGGTGTTTAATTAAACTTATGACACAGCTCCTGTGGCTAGGAAGGAGTTGCTGTACTTCCCAAAGCTCTTTAGACATTCACAGCAAAAGGACTTGAGAAGACGTGTATCCTACTTCACCCAGCGGCAAACACGAGGCCTCTTTGTTCAGGCAGTCAGACATCTTAAATGCATGTTACAGAGGGCTAACAAGCTGTCGAACATGGGAATCAAAAATCTGTGATTATGAAGCTATATGAGAATTTAGTTGAATTTACACTTTATATCATATCACTACTGACCTGTCAGAATGGAAAAACTGAAGGAGTGAAGGGAATTTTCAAAATTGCAATCTTTAGGAAAAACAATGGTTTTGTAGTATTCGCCTTTGTGAAGGCACCATGGCGTATTTCTTCTACTCCAGCGTTTCCAGTTTAATGAAACCAAAATAAAATGGTGTTTATAATGACTACTAATTGTAACATTTGTCGATTTGCAAAACATCACAGAAAATTACTTATACCCTTTAACTGAGACAGCTTATTACCATCTTTCCTTTTTGGAACCACAGACATTTAAAAAAAGGACTCCTACAAACACAAAAGTAACTCACTCTTCTTCTGTGTGATGAAGTCACAGATCTCATGATACTGGGAAAGATTGCCAAAGACTCTGACAGCCTCCACAACTCCATCCATACTGTTGCTCATTAACAGCTTTAAAAGCACTATTGGTTGCAGATAAATGAAATTTAAAACAATTACTTGTTTGTGATAAACATACTGGCTTTTTATCAATAAATATCAGAATGCAAACAGCAACAGCAATAAATGTAATAAATGGGAACCGTTATTTATCTGCCTGGTTGCAGTGAACAGGGAGAGCTGATGGTAGAACAAGAGCGAAATTGTGTAGGGCTTTGAAGATGAGACAAAGAGCTCCAATATGGGGTTCAATGCAAAGGAACAAATGAGGAGTTATGAAGATAGGCTAAGCACAGTTGTAATAATGGGAGCCAGTTTTGCTACACAGTTTTGAGTGGGCTCATGTGAAAATTCAGGAAGATGAAGACAAATAATGTCGTAATATGTAAGAGAACTGATTTAGATCCTGAACAGATGGTCTTGTGGTGGGATGTCTCCTAAAACTCAAAATTATTTTCTGACATTAGCTCTGTTTTCTCTCAGTGCTGCTACAACAAGCGAAAACATTTTTTCTAAACAGCTACTTAATATTGCCCCTGGTCTGAAGTACTGACTTGCTTGCTGCTTTCCTGCTTAGCAGTTTCACAGATGATGAGCACGTAACTTCTGCAGACAGAATGAGACCTTCAGCATTTCCTAGGAGTAGCTGCCATCATGTAGCGTTTCAGTGCACAGCAAAGGAGCCATGTTACAGAAATTACATTTATCAGTTTTCTGTGAGTATGAAATGAACGACTGAAATCAGTCCATCATATAAAGGACTCAAATCAGACAACCCTTAATCCTTCTACCACAGAAAAGTGAGAGAAAAAAAGTATAGAAAAGAGGTTGGCTTCATCCCATTATTTCCGTCTTTGAATGTTGCAATACTGAACATGCCTTGAACTTGTCTTAAGGAGATACCTGAAATGATTACTACTTGTCTTTGGGATCCACCCCCTGTATCAAACAGCAAGTATTCTCAAAATGCTTCCTGGAGGAGGAAGCATGCTGGTCTTCCATCAAAAGGTTTCCTCCCCTCAGTTCAGGCAGAGGAAAGGTGGTGGAACAAGTTCCACATGCAAACAGTAAGAACAGGAGAGAGAGAGAGAATGGGACAGGCAGAGAAGCCACTTCTCCCCATTTCTCCAACCAGTGGTAAGAGACAGCTGGCTTCTGGGTAATAAAGTGACGCGTGACAGAACAGCAGAACTGTTACCTAGACAGAATATGATGTCTAAATCAGGGCACTAAGTTGCCAGCCAGAGTATTTTTTCCTACTCCTCATTCTCTCTCTCCTTCTGGCTCCATCTCTCCCCCACGTCTTCTCTATTTAGAGAGGAAGGTATGGAAGACGTAGACTCTCTGCCTTCTGTGTAACATTAACACAGTGAGTCCCTGGACTCAGATGCCATTCCTACGCATCACTAAAATATGACTATTGTCCATACTGTACAAGTGGGTAAAAAACCAAATCGCACAACTCCTATGCTGCCAATGGATTTATAAGCCAGGAATGGACAAAACCCAGATTTTTCCGAGTCTAGAAGGTACTAAGAAGAAAAAAAACTTTCTTGCTATACTCTGATTAGAAGTAAAAAGCAGCACAATTATTTTGGCTCAGACATATGCATTTTGAATAAGTCTAGCAAAAACTGCTGAACAGGAAACAATATGGCAAATTCCTTTGGGGAGGAAAAGAAGTTTTTTTTAAAAAACCTAACTATTTTCACATAAGTTGGAATTATGTTAGAAAAGAATGACAAATCATTATGTGAAAAATTTAGCCCTATGAACTTCATATTCCAGCAATACGATACCACAAAACACTGCCAGTGTCTTTATTTCCTGTAGTGTCAAAACACAGCTTGAATAACTTCCACTTTCACAAAGATACACAAGAAATACCTAGTTTAAAAAGCCCTACTTTCAGCAATGTGTAGCTTCTTGTCTTGAACAGCAGAACTCTTCACTCTGTAGTAGGATAAGTTGTTGATTGTTGTCGCAGCATTGATGACCAACTCCTCACAGTCATCAACTGACTTGTACTCTATAGTAAAAGAAAAACCAAGAAAACATATGTATATGTAGATATACACAAGCACACGAGTAACTTAGTATTGCATTATATCTCACAGAAGCAAACAATCATAGTTTACATGGCCACTACTACAGACAACTATTCTGGTTTTCAGTAACATACCAGAATATAACAGGAACAGCTGATCAAAAAATGGCAATACAAAGTCACTTTTTCCAGCTCTTCATCTACAGAAATCATTGTAACTAAGGCAACATGGTTTGTAATCTAGTTAGTTAAGACATTTTCCAGAGTCTGTTTGCTGGTTTAAGATGGAACTGAGGAGAATCCACATGCAGAAATTGGCCTGGGTGATAGCACACATTATAGGACTATTTCACTGAAATGTCAGGTACCATTAAAAAAAAAAAAAAAACAAAAAAACAAAAAACAAACCTAAAGACTTCTTTAACACTATTTAAAAGAGTATTTCTCTTAGAGTTCCTGACTGAATGTAAAGACATGTAAAATGACACCAGCAAGTCTAAAAGTTGTTTAGTTTTTTTATGAGTTTATGAGTTTTTTAGTTTTATTATGAGTTTTTTTGCCTCAGGAACCAAGAGTGAAGGAAATAAAAAAGGGTTAAGTTCACAAGGAGCAGGAATATTTTGTAGTAACCTAACTGATCCAGTGCTCCAGAAGAGGGGAGGGTGGCAGAGGGAAGCTCTGAGGCTCAGAAGTGCTTACACAGTGATTAAGACAGTTCCAACCCAGGAAGCTCCTACAGGGCTTAAGACAGAACAAAGTTGTGAGTCTGCCTTCCCTAATCTCCCCCACCCCCAAGGCTGGTGGGTAAACCTGGTAAACTAGTATATAATTAGGCTGATTGTATTCACATAAGAGTTAATGTTCTCATCACGCCCCAAAATATAGTGAGCTCTATGAGATGTATCTTGTCACTGCTAAACTCTGTTCCTGGGAGAAGAACCTGGAATTAGATTTGCAAATGGATCAGTGGGTGGCAAAGGAACTGCAGTCCAAAGCCTCCAATTTTAGGGAAGAGGGACACTTCCACCTGAAAGAGACAATGCTTGGAAATCTGAAAAAGAAAAAAAAAACTAGAGGAATTTTTTGAGGAGGATGAAAGTTATGGGTGCAGGGTACAAAAAGATTACTTGATCCAGTCACAAAATCTGCAAAAGATAAAAAAAAACCCACCACCGCCAAATACACCTGTGTAGCACCTGCTAAGAACAGACTTCCCTTATATATGGACTCTCGGTGAGATGTATTTAAACCAAAATTTGTTTGCTTTAACGATCACATTTGCAAACTTGATCACCAAATTAAACAATTCTGAATCTTTCCCCAGACACTGAAAAGTCACTACACAAAAGCAGCAATGCTTCCACTGTCTCAAACAGGCTTTCTACATAAACCTGTTCATGGACATCAGCAGATTGACTTTGTTGTTTTAGCAACAGAACTGATCCAGTTATGGCTCAACCTAGACAAGAAGGTCAAGTAGAAAAATCCTAAACTCTCCTTTATAGATGGACCAAAGACAACAAACACAACATAGGTTTTATTACCTAGCACTGTAATAAGTAATTCTACCACACACTGGGCAGCTGCCAGAGCTGCTCCTACACTGGGATGAATGGAGAGATTGGCCAGCACTCTTATCAGTTTTATAAGAACATCTTCTGCCTCTGAAGGATGCTTTGGGTGTTTTTTTCCTTCTCCTCCTCTTCCACGGTACAATCTCTGTGCATTCAAATCAAGTTCATGGTAGGTTTGGAATAATGATATCAAGGTGTTAAGACTTCCTTTTTCTTTAAAAAATTGCTCGCGGGCCTGGTTATTCTTTGCTGTTAAATTACCAAGAATGAAGATGATACGGATAACCAAATCCTGCAATAAAATAAACAAACCGTATTACACAGAAAACGTCAGAAGCTATTAGCTGCTTAAAAAGAAGATAATATTTAATTTGCTTCACAATTCAGTCAATAGCAGGTCCAGAACAACTGAAGGAAAGCCAAATACAGTAACTAGAAATATTTTTTATGCTACTATTTTTCATAAGCCAGTTTACAGAACTAAGCAAAAACATCTGACAGAACTAGTATAGCACTGAGGTAATTACTAATGAGATATACTTAGCATAGGTCATCTATTTTTATCAAGCCCACAATAATCTTAAAACATCTTAAAACAGCACTTTCGATATCTAGAATCATATGGGCCTGAGCTTACTAAGCTTTCAAGTAAGCATCTGTTGTGATGGCCAAAGACCATCACCTTCCCTTCTTCTCTAGGCCTGTTAACCATTGCAGAGGTTAAACTACTTCCCCTTGGTTTGCTACTGTTAAATCCGTGTTGGCTCATACTCATTTCCTTGTTAAGTCCAGCTGCTTATAGATAGCTGAATTATTTGGTCCAAATACTAAATGAGACCCACTTTCTATTTTTATACCGTATCTTGAGATCTCATGATTTAACCACATTGCTCTCTTAAAGCACTTCCTATCCCTACCCTTCAGTGGGACATATAAAGAAATCTCATTTCATTTTGGAAATACTGAGATATAGCCATTTTTTTTGTGAGATTAGTGGATCTTAATTGAACGGCATTTGACCAACACACTCATATTTTTCTTACCTACCTGTATGAAAGAAAAAACCCCAAAGAATTCTGAAAGTCTGAACTAATGCAAGTATAAACTAAAACATTTCCTTCTGTCACTTGCATCAAATCCTAACTTCCCGAAAGAAAAGTCCATAGCTTTATCTTAACAGTACCATTAAAGTAACAGCATTTCTTCAAGTACAGCACAGCCATCTACCTTAGCTGCTAAACTGATGTACTTCCACTAACCAAACATTTTGCTAAACAATTTATATGGTGTATTTGTTCAAATATAATAGTTATATTTGCAGATTCTAATCCTCCATGGTGCTAATAATGTAGTTAAACAGGCACAGTCCAACTTGTTAAAGTATACATACTCATACTAAAGGAAAAAAGATACGTAACCAATTAATCCTTCTTTCATACGTGCCTTCATCATTAGGCTTCAGGTCTTAAGCCTCTGCTACAAGACATTGGCAGTAACATCCTCTTAGGGTCCAGAAGATGGATGCTATCCCTGAATATGAGAAGCTGTCAGTCTGCTAAGTGACAAATAGTTTCTCCCACCCATGTATTTAATACAATCATGCCATAGGACCCACTTCCACTTATTTTTAAACTCAGAATTATATTTTTGCTAGTGTCTAAATGTCATCAAGACAAATTTTTATGAACATTTTTACTGACTAACCACTAAGAGCTTTCACCTTTGCTGGCACAAACCCCAATTCACAAAGGCCATAAGAATTTGTAACAAACAACTGATGAATCAGAAGAGAGAACTGAAAAAAAGCAGGCAGTCTAGTTTGACTCGTTTATATTGACTTTCTAATTTTGGTCAAAACAGTATCAGCCCAGCAACAGCTCTACCCAATCAGAAAACAGACAAACAGGTACCGTACAGCAATCAACTGATATTTTGAGAACTGTGATCTCAACTGTGCTTTCCACCTACAGGCTAGCAAAACAAACTTAAAAAATATTTCTTTTTAGCTAAGCACATCCGGTTTTAATAGCATATTACTGAAGTTTCATTATCTTCCAGTGAAAATTTAACTAGCAGAGTCAGAGAGAAAAGTTTGTACGACTTCCCCTGAGCAGTATAATACTCAAGGGTTTGTATTATTTTTGGCTACTTTTTTTTTAACCGCTCATGGGGTAAGCACTGCAAGAGTAAGAAACAGCAGCTTAGAATTGCTATGTAAAGAAATACATGTAAAGAAGAATGGCATTTTGAAACTGTTTGCAAGATTAAACCTGTAAAAGGCCCATGGGATTTTCTGTACATAACAAAAAAATCAGTATAATAAATGAGATTATTATGCATCTCCAAATGTTTGAAGTATTAACTGCAAGTGGAATTTCAGACATTGGTGCACACTTACAGAAAAATTACATTTATCAGATTATATAAAATGGAGGTTTTAACATGTACGGCACTCAAGACAAATCAGATTAAAGATAGGAATTACACTCAGTTATTTAATCTTTTTATAACAAAGCATATATGTGAGACATGTTGTCCAGAGAGTGTACTCAAACCTGATTGAATGTTATATATAAGACCACAAAGCTTCACTTAGATAAACAAATCTGAGAAAACATATAAAGAAAAGCTGGAGAAAGAGAATTAATTTTTTCTTTGATTCCAGTCTATGAAGAAACTGTGATATTTTTGTTTTCCAAATGGTAATGGCACCACATACTCCATAAACACTTAATTCTTATTTTCTGAAAACTGGAACATACACATTTGATCATGGATACAAAAGATTTCTTTGCTTATCTGCTAAAAAAAAAACTATGCCTTCCACTGCCCTGGTAGCAAAGGTACCAAATGTACCTGCTGAGTCACAGAACTTGACAGCAGTTTATCTTGGCAGTTAAAGTGTACCTGCCTTTCTGTGTAAAGCACGATGAACAGAGGTACAAATAGTACAGGTTTACTTATCAGTAGGAAAGGAAAGCCAGTTAGGTCAGTAATTTCTAACTAAAACAAGATAAATAAGGGAGAGGAGTCCATTCTAGAGTTTGTACAAGTTGGCCAAGTACCTGTTGTTAGTCTATTTGATGTCCGGACCCTCAGAAGGGAAGAGGTAGTATGAAACAAAACTTTAAATGCCAGCAGCTGAGTTCTTATTGAATCTCTCATAATGTAAATGAAATATGCTTTCCATGTTACACAAGGATCAGCGGAGTTAGTCAAAGTTCTACTACCTGCCCCGCAATATCAACTGCTTCTCATTAAAATCTAATTTACACTTCACTTCCAAATTTGTATTTCTGCTTTGTTATGTACCTTGGAATGAAAATCTGAGAGTTTTCTTCACAGGGTCTGATAGTCCACTTATACACCTTATAAACAAAACAATAGGAGCTATGCCACCCTGGAGCTAATCTCTTCCAAACAAAGAAAGGATTCATCTTGAAGTTACACTGTCTGTGAAATTTCCTCGTCAAATCCAGAAATAACAACAACTGAACCAAAACAAAAACCGATTTAAAGATGAAAAACAGGGAGGAGGGGGGCAAAGAAGCGTGGGTGTATGATACCCTGGAAGTATCAAAAATAAATGAAGAAGTTCTTGACTGACCTGAAGTAAGCAGCAGAGAGGAAAAGCTCTGACACACCGATAGCAGGGACTACTTTGTTAGTAAAGAGGGAACCTCCTTCCTCCACAAATATGAATGAATTTGAGGAGAAGGAGAGACCCTTAGAAGAATGTAGTTATATTTCTGCATATCACATGCCACAGGACCCCACCCAATAATTTCTACACACCAAAATTTTATCTGTCTACCTAAGCTTTTCAGAAAAAAGTTAATTTGCACTTAGTGACTTTTAGCAATGAAGAAATTACATCATTAGGTTTGTCTGTGGACACCTGGAGATCTGGGAAAGGTAATGAAGAAAAGCAAGTGTATTGTCACCACAACAACTTACAATGAAAAGCAGTGCATTCTAATGAAAAATATTTCCTGAATCACAAACTGAAAAATAAATCCCCCACGGTATTGCTCCAGTGATTATAGATCTCCCTGTTTAAAGTCTCTATTCCTATTAATAGTTTAAATTTGTACAGCTTCAGCCACTCTTTCTTATTATCTCTTTTCCTAGATTAAAGGATGGTCTCCTAACAGAAATGTCTTCCTTGTGCAGATTATATTAATAGGCAACATGCTAATGGTCTGACCTTTGTCACTGATAAATTAATTTGCTTAATCTTGGTTGCTATTTTTTAACTCTAATAATTCTTCTGGCTTTTTCAGAGCTGTTCCAAAGCTTTCACCTTCTTTTTCAGAAATTAATACCAAAACTTAAGGCAAAATATTTTAGTGACAGTAATAGCAGTAAAATCTTATTATTCTTGTTTGATATTCTAATGTTTACCTATCTAGTAATTACATTAATTCTCTTGTATCTTTTGATACATCAGAACAACAATATGTGCCAGTGAAGGCTGGTTGACTACTATCTTTGAGATCTGCATTATCTGATCATATCACATCACATCACAGATTCTTTACTTTCCTCACCATTTTTTTTTTTCTTAAAGAAAAAGCAAAGGAAAAAAAACCACACCCAAAGTATTAGGAAGATACAAACACACTTTCAGCTCAGCATAGTGTCAGAAATCAACTATAAGGAAAGGGTGACTTTCCGTGGTTATTCAGATTTATCAGCAGGGAAATTCCTTCAGAGCTGTCAGAAATTTGTCCTAAAATGGATACTTCCTTCTTGCAAAAAAAAAAAAAAAAAAAAAATTAGTTGTGGTGGTATGGGCCCCCCTGCCCAGGGCTGCGGAGTTAGCCTCACAGAGTTAGCCTCAGAATCAGCCTACCATCGTTGCTCAGCTTCACAACATAGGAGGCTGGGAGAGCTCAGTACATTCTGATGCCCAGTCCATTCTGACTCTGTGAGTCCACCTGAAACTAAACAGACTCCCCCACAATCACCCAGAGATGGAGGCAGCAAGATGGAATAGCTAGGTACCCCCTAACTACATCCATAACTCATGAACACCTTGGAAAGGTGCCACAGAAAGACCACAGCCCCATTGGGGCTGTACTAGTCTAGCACTGACCAAAGTCAATCATCTTGTAACCTTATCAATACTGATCCTAAAGTGAAGCCCATGGGAGCTCCCTGGGATCTCAGCAATCTGAGTCTCTTTATCTGCCCCTGAGCTGGGACACCTCTCTGGCCAGACTCTGTCTACTGGTAAAGCCGACAAAGGGAGGCACTGTCTGCCTGCAAATACCCGTGAAGGAAATCACA